TTTAGAATCTAAATGTGCCTTCTTTTGTGATACCGTTGAGTATCTAGCATTTCGTTTGGATAAACACGGCTTCCATCCCTTAAGGGAAAAACATTCAACTCACTTTGGATTCCCCAAAACTCCGAAGTATTAATGAACTGCAATCCTTTCTTGGGGTGGTAACCCATTACGGTCGTTTCTTACCCAATAAGGCTAGCCTTCTCGCACCATTATATCCTTTGCTTTCTTAAGCGTAGCAGGTGGCTGTGGTTCAAGGAACAACAGTTTCTGATGCTGTCAGAGTGGATATCAGTAACGGTAACTTGTTAGTGCATTTTGATCCAAAGAAACCGAACAGTTCGTTGTCATGTGTCACCCATAGGGCTTGAGGCCCTGCTATCACACTAAATGGATGATATGATTGGGCAAGTCATAACTTTCGTGTCTAGAAGTTTGGCACCAGCGGAAAAAAACTACGCGCAGCTCGACAGCGAACCGTTAGTTGTTATCTTTGGAGTCAAGAAATTCCACCAATATGTGTGGAAAAGAAAATTCGAAATCTTTACTGACTACAAGCCACTGTTAGCCCTGCTTAGTGAGAAAAAGTGGGTGTAAACTAGATGGCGTCACCTCGTATGCAAGGTTGGGCTTTATTGCCCCCCGCTTACAATTACAAGATCGCGCAGTTGCTTATTTCAAGTTCCTCAAAAGCAACGGTATACATCATGGGAAATCAGCCCTCAACCACCCAGTTTCAAAGAGTTGGCAGAAAGTGCCGTCCAGACGGTTAAGAACGGGTTACGGAAACCAGCGTCTGCTCCACTGTGAACAAAGTTGGACAAATTTCATTTGGCTACTGCACCACGCTAAACGTGATTACTGCGAAGAGCCCGAGCGAGCTGGTGTTCGGACGAAGATTGGGGACACGGCTGAATCTTCTGTTTCCTGACCACAGGCTACGTGTCTAGGCTAAACAAGATAAATCTAAGACTGTGTGCGACCAGTGGACGTCCGATCGAAGATTCTGCGAGAATGAACCGGTCTACATCAAGTTGCCCAACGAAACGAGCTGGCAGTCTGGAGAATTGTGCGAACTTGTGAGACAACCTACGGAGGTGGGTTTATCTGATGGCAGAATAGGTATTTGACACAGGGATCACGTCCGCCATCATTCCGTTTCCGTTCCGCAACCTCAAACCAGCATACTGACTTGACAAAAGCGCAGAACTCTCAAAACTCAGGCCAACCGGAGGCTCAGCAATGTCGCCGTTCAACTCTGCAACGTCAGCCTGTAGATGGATACCAACCTAGCTGGAGTGGTCCAAAGTAAACGGAGAAGGAATGTGGCATCCTCACGGCCAATATACCGAGCCCTTCCTATTCGTTGCCTGCTTCTGTTGGCATGGGGCAGTAACTCACTCACCCACTTATCGATTTGCCTTATTTAACATACTGAATCGATGCTTTGTACAGCATGCTGGTTGGAACATAGTTTTGCCTTCCGTTTGCCTGAAGTGTTCTGATTTGCGATTCTTCGGCCACGAGCCAGCCACTGAGCGTTAGTTCCGCAATTGCTAAGCTGTGACATGGCCTCATCAATGAAGTGTTCAAAAGCGACCGTCCATAATGCAACTGCAACAGCGAGGCTTTTATTGCACTCCGTTCGCTCTTCAAGCGTTCAATGTTCGAACGCTTATGTAGGTTGGATCACAAGCTGCTCCTGCGTGCACCTTGGAGACCCGCCCCATCGACGTTTTCTGCCTAACTGAAACCCACTTACAGGGCTCCAGCGAAACGCTACAATTGCTGTCACCATCTTCAAGTTGCGATTGCACCTTCACTCTGCGCTAATCTGATGAGACAGATGCAGCCTTTGGCTGCGTCCGTGTAGGAATTGCGTTAAATGCGCGTGCTGAGTCAGCGCTTATTGTCTGATTTCCGGTGAACAGCTACCTTTGTGCAGTCCGCTTTGAAAGCTCAGTGCGATCTTCCAGCAACTGGACCAGTAGGCGCTGCTTATTCACTATGGCGGCTTGCATTCCTACGGACTGCAGCTCGGATGAAGTTAAAGACGAGTTCCTACCGCCAACTCACCGACCTCCGTAAGAAACGCTGCACTAACGTCATGATACTCACCGGAGACCCAAACGAGCAGGTCGGTAGAATAGAGGTTAATGCAAGCGAATTTGGGGCAAACACAACCACGGTACTCACAGGATATACAACGGCGATGGACTCCTTTAACTGTGCGCCGACCAAGACGCATTGGTCAAGCTTGGACGCAGATTGACCAGCTCGCTATTAGTTACCGTTGGCGAGGCTGGATAACGAACTGTAAGTCGATTTGGAACACTTAGTTGACTTCGGATCATGCGCTGGTGTGTGCTAAGATCGTTCTGCGCTTTATGGGCACCCAACAACATTGCCGGAAACGGCTTGACACAGATAAGCTCGCCACCCCAAATGTTCTCGGCGCATTTCAGTACGCATGAGACTCCAACATGCAATGTTGAGACACACTAGGCACAGAATCAGAACCCCTTACGGAAGTCTGCTACCCTGGTCTGTGATTTCACTAGACGAGCTGCCAGTCATTGGATCTCAGCACAGTCCTTCCAATTAATGAAAAGCCGTCGAACAAGTACAAGACACTACGCAGAACCACAGGTGTTGAGCTCAGATAGTTTCTCTGGAAGAATCTCGAGATCTGGTGGACACAACGTGTCGTGGAGATGGAGCAACCTCATCAGGAAGCTCCCACAAACTGTTCTAACTTAATCAGTCCTCAGGAGGCACAAGCCCAACAGTGAGTGAAGTTTTGCGTGAAAATGACGGCGAACTAATTCACATCTTCACCGTCGTCTGGTACGATCGGCAGAGCCGTTTGTAGATCAGTTGAACTAGCTACCAACACAACCGAGTCTATATTCCGGAATTCACAGCGCTCCCTGGTGCACGGATGTTTCTTCACCGACTGAGGTTCTCCATGAGCTTCGCCTACTAAAGCGCTACAGGTTACCTGTCCCAGATGAACTTCCTCCTGTGCTCTTCAAATATGGGGTGTCCTGCTCGCACCTGCGGACTGACATCCCTATTCCATCAGATTTGGACTACTGAAACCATCCCACCCTACTGGAAATTAACGGATGTTGTACCTGCCTACAAAAAAGGACATCGCACAGTTTGCTTCAACCATCGTGGCATCAGTCTCATTTGTGCCGCATCCAAACTGCTCGCTGCCCTACTCTTGCGGAGGCACAGGTGCAAACGATAATAGCACCTGCGTAAACAACAAGCTGGGTTTCGCCCGGGTCGCGGTTGCGTCGATCACATTTTATATCCGTCAGCCACTTAAAGATGGCCATGCGTTCAGTCGACCAACCATAGTCATACGCTTGGACCTCCGAACCGCGTTTGGCTCCGTTGACAGAGTGACCCTGGGACTGCTTACTGAAAAGGTGAGTATCTGAGAAGTATATCAGCATTCTCCGTGTCATTTACTATTAAACATCGGGCCGCGTGCAAGTATACGGAGACTTTTCGCTCTATTTCAGTATCACTAGCAGCGTTAGACAGGGTTTTCCAGCCTCTCTATCCTTGTTCAACTTCGCCATGCACAAGATTCTGGATACTGTGCTGGAAAAGCTTGAGTCCTGTGGCGTTGAACTGCTCCCTGGTGATGGCCTTCGGGACTTGGGGTACGCAGATAAAATTGCTGTGAATTGTGAGTCTTCCCAGGCTACTAAGAATGTGCTGCTTAGACTAGAGATGTCTGCCTTCTAAATTGGGTTAACCTTTGCCCCTTCCAAAGGTAAGGCCCTGTTACAGGACTGGTCAGGTGCATCTCATTCTCTCTCCCTTTCGGGACATCCGTTTGAAGTGATCGCCAAATTCATTTATCTTAGGAGTTGTCTTAGCATTGGCGGTTTGACGGATGAGATTTCCCTGCGGGTCTCCAAGGCTAGAGTCGCCTTTGCTAACCTTCATCACCTGTGGCTTCGTCGTGACCTCAGCCTCGCCCTCAAGGGATGAGTCTACAATGCTACGGTACGAGCGATTCTGCTGTACGGCTGTGAGACTTGACCCGTTCACCAAAATAATGTTCAGCAGCTATCTGTCTTCGACCAGCGCTGTTTGTGAAGCGTTGCTGGTGTTCGATGGCAGCATCCTATCAGTGATGAGGGAGTCCGTCGGAGAGTTTTCAAATCTGACAAACTCCGTCGACCGATGGACAGCATCATTTCACTGAGGAGGCTTTCGCTGGCTTGGACATGTGCTCCACATTCTCAACTAGCGGCTACCACGACGTGCCTTATTTGCGGGCGTAGGCGTGGGATGGAAGGGACGACACTTGAATTCAATGCGTTAAGGCGCAAAGGTTGAGGCTGCTGTTGTTGGTCGTTCCCGACTCCGGGTTGGGGACCAAAGGACCCCGAGCACATCTGGCCAAGGACCGTACGCAATGGCGCACTTGCTGTGAGACTCTCCTTCTCGGACAGTCGTTTTCCCTTTCAATTTATGTTTTCGCTCATGTGTTGTGGCACTCAGCCAATTGTAATGTAAGTGGTAACAATTTAAATCAATGAATAAATATGTTTTTAACCGGGGCAGGGGGTGGGATCAAAGAGATCAAATACAGGGCTAAGCTCACTTATTTGCTTCGGCGCTAGATATAATTCACATCTATTGGCATTGTGGTAAGGTTAACTGATATCTAGGTTTCCCATCGAAAGAGTGCTTACACTCTGGGTGCTGAACTAATGCGATTAGCCTTTTTATAACAAGATCTTTATTTCAAACCGGATCATTGGTAGTCCTTGGCTACGCGTCCATCCCAGCCGTGCTAGCCACAGGGCCGAAAGGAATTAACTGGTCAAGCCCTACACTTTCCGTCACAGATCGTGCTGTATTAGGTAAGCCACATTTACACATGCAATAGAGGCTGTGACCAATGATAATTTATCTTAAAGTGACATGGAATTCCAAGTTCCTTGCCTACTATTCTTCTGAACAATAAGAACCCGACGTATTCGTTCATTCTGGTTTGAATGGTATAACAGTAGCAATACAAACTGTACACAGTAGATTTTCCTTCACAGAGATGTCAAAAATGTCACCAGATTACGGTAAGCAAACAAAAAAGACGTCAAAAATTGTTCCCGTCGTGGGGGGGGGATGTGCAGGTGTCTAACTTCACTTCATGCTTGTGCGCGTGAAAGAACAAAGGCATGCAGCAAGTTTGATCGGCCGTAGTTGTGCACATATACACAGTTACGATGGATTATAAAATGGGGATGAGATCGAGACATTTTGATTTACCATGACATGCAAAAAAGCCTGGAAAGCATCACTTGGGAGAGGTCGGTTGTACGTTAGTGATCCCCATCCTGTCTGGTTTGAAATTTGTGGGGGTAATTTATCTGGATACACGGTAACTCTTGGAAGCTTAAGATGTCGCCTGAGGTTTCCTCTGGGCCTTTCTCGGTAGCCCCAGTCCTTTAAATTCGGACTCAGTCTTGTGTGTGATTCTTCCGCTGTACTAGCTCCGCTGCAACGCGGTAGCTGGTATTCAATTCTTTCAGCGTTTGGGCGGGACCAAGAGGACCGGCTGCTGGTGGAACGAGTAGGACACTTCCCGCGAGAGCACTGTCCATTCAAAGTCATTGGTAACTGCGGTTTGTCTTAAAGAAAGGTGGACATTCACAATTGTAACTGTTTCATCAAGGCTAGTCGAGAATAAGTGAAAATCTTTTGGAACGCCATGTAGTATAATAGAAACAATATCATCGACACCACGGGTCGTTTTCAACATATTGTACTATATGTAAGTGTATTCACAGTGTAGGGTAACAGTCTCTCTCTCTCCCGATATATATATATATATATATATATCCAGTAAACGTCAGCTTTGGTTCCTACCTACTGTAGCGGTACTATGACATTGCGACGTGCTGCGTCCTCACCATACAGAAAATTTTGCAACTCATACTAATTCTCACCCCAAGGTCAAAGAAACAAGCCGACCTCGATGCTGATAGACGTGCCAAGCTATTAACTATCCAGATTTTTTCCCAAAACTACTGTATCATGGGAGGTCGATGGTGGGTGGTGTTCATTAGGTGACTTAAATGGACTGTTACATTCCAGTTAGAAGCAACTATTGGTCAGTTGCAAGACTCTCTGTCACCAAGTTGTACTCCGTGCTAAGTTATCAAAGAAAAACCAGCAAGAATTTCGAGCATAACGTACAAATTCGCATTAAGCAGAAGATTTGCTTGACTTAGAGATAGTAAAGTACGCGCTCTCACCTTGGCCATCGACTCCTTGTCGTTTGTGTTTAGAGGGTTTCAGCCGTTGTGCCCGTCTTATCAAAAGACGGTATGTTGATTTGTTGTAAATGCACCTTAGAAATGGGACAGGCACGATGCACTGTGGTCAAACAGTTCACATCAACAGTTTATTAAACGATGCATATAAATTTACTTAAAGTAGTAAGTAACAAAAACTGCAGCAAATAAAGGAGCGACGCAGTTTATTGTGGCCGAGCAATTAAGGAATTCTGGCTTCTCCGCAACTGTACTGCTTCTCCGGAGGTAAGGCTACAGGACGTTGCGGTGCGAATGGGAACCAACTGTAAATGAAATAAAACAATACTACTTTCAATTAATAAGTAGACTGTAATCGAAGCTTTGGGGCTAACATGAAGGGGCACGTGCTAGACGCGGGAGAACACATGAGGACAGCTGATTCAGCGCAACTATCCTGATATGTAGGCGACACTAGTATATAACATGCGAGTATCTTATGAATCCAAGATGGTTAAGGTGCCGGTTCCGGGCACCGTGTTCAGACACCGACAATCCCAGCAAAGAGCAACTTGATTAGGAAGAATCAGGGTGGAAAAATCGGTAAGCATCATTGTTACGGAGCAACGTCTCCTGAAGCTAGTTTGCCAGCAAATATAGGTGCAAGGAACTGAGGCGAATCAAACTGTTTGACGTATGTTGACAATAATAATGATAGTCGGGATGCTCATGTTAAAAGCATCGGACTAGTGAAAACGAGGAAAGTGGTCAGTGCGAATTATGTGGAAAGACCAAGCGCGTGTTGGTCGAGTCAACAGTCAGAAGTTAGTAAGTCAACGCGTGGATGTACCAACACCGTGACTGCCCCTTATCCCACAGGTGTAGTCGTACGCGACGATTCCAGCCAGTAAGATGACACACTGATCCGATTAAGTCGTTCAGCCAGTTATCTCGTGTTTTTAAAGTCTTCGTTTGGATAGCCCTGGCTTCCATCCAACTAAGTGCGGTTTCGGTAAACAGTACACATGGGGGTGTCTAAACACTAGGCAGGCGAAGGGCATAGTTTGCGTTCAGAAAGCACCCCAACACGATATCAGGAATTCCATTACAAAATACTATATGGTAAACTGCCGAAGTGCTCACTTATAGCTGCCATCATATGTGAGTGATGCCTCGTGGAGCTTGATGGTTAACCGTGACCAGTCTGTTGGTGTCTTAAGTGTGCAGAGGCAATATATGTGATCCTAGAGTAGACCGAACCATTGCGTCGTGCAAGTCACTTCGAAATATTGTGCTTGAGTTGTGTCGTTTCCATGAAGGAATCTGCAATTGCGAGACCACTTCAGCCTCACCAACAACTGCAGTAGGGTCTTCGGTGAAAGCACAACTCAGAGGTGACACGTTTGCTCAGATAGGCCAAAGCTGGACAAATTCGTTTGACTGTTCTGTGATATTGGGCGTTGGTGAGGCGTCAGCCCGAGCCTGTAACAGTAAATTGTATTCTGAACCTATATGTGTCATACTCTATAGCATTGTTTGCATAACAGACTGCCGTCCAAAAAGATTCGTCATCCGGATGCATTACGTTTGACATTAATAACGTAGACATAAATAAACGAGCTAATCTCTCGGTTCAGCAAAGCCATCAATCTTCCCCGACCGATGCACTCGGCTGCGGTCCATCGCAAGATACTGATGAACACTGGATGTGAATGCGGAAGACCATGATCTCCGGGCAGTTAGTCTGTGGTCTTAGCACCCTATGAAGGGCTGGATCTTCATGCGCTCTTTGTATCTATTTGACCGCCGCATAAATATCCTTATGGAGTCTAATTACGATGAAGTGCGCCGTTCTGTCAGTCGGCAGATCAAACAGAGCCTGCGCAGTGATCGTGAAGCCTGATGGTCCCAGCGCCCTTCGGAAATGGAGGCCGCATTCCCCCCTGACAATACTCCTAAGCTCTTCAGCGCATTCGATCCAATGGCTACATACAGCCTGGTGTCAGCAAGACTATATGCGAAGCGGATGGTTCGCCGATTGCCAACCTACAAATACGCTTGGATCGATGGGCCGAATATTTTTATTCCCTGTTCAATTGGACCTCACCGTCCACTTTATACCCTGAAAGCCCAGCTGACCGCCCTGGGTCGTCACACTTGATCCACCCAGCGAAGCAAAAGTTAGTCTTGCTATTCGACAATTGAAACGACTCAAGACTGCCGGCTCAAATGGAATTCCTTCGGAGCTGTTCAAGTATGGAGTCTCAGTTATCATTAGGCAGTCAACTTGATTGTTCTCCAAAGTTTGGCATGAAGAAAAGATCTCTTCTTCCTGCGGCGAGTCACCGGGAATCACAAGCTGGCTTCCGACATGGCCGCGGGTGTATGGACTAAATATTCACGTTCTGCTAAATGCTAGAACACCGCCACCTTTATCAGAGGGCTACCATCGCTGCATTCCTATACATCCGTGCCGCATTCGGCTCGGTTGTTTGCTAAAGAATGGTGTCCAGAAAAGTACACTGCCATTCCACACGCGCTCTACCTCCACATCTCCGGCAGAGTGAGAGTCTATGACAGGCTTTCATTGTCCTTAGCCGTCAATTGGGGTGTAAGACATGGGTACCCTATGTCCCTGTTGCTCTTCAATATTATGATTTAAGGCATCCAGTTGAGAGCTCTAGACGGTTACCACAATTTTGGTCTACAGCTACTACCGGACAAGCGAGCGACTGACTTAGCTTATGCCGTTGATAACGCCCTACTTGGTGATGACTCACGGAATATGCAAACCATTCTAGACCGTTTGATGACTGAAACATCTAAGTACAGAATGTGCTTTGCCCCGCCAAAGTGTATTGTGCTGCTCCAGAATTGACACTCGCCCGTTTCCGTGCTCACTATTGAAGGTACACAGCTTGAACAAGTGGATAGCTTTGTTCACCTGGACAGTTACCTGTCTGCTAGTGGCAATATCATGAATGAAGTTTCTCTCCGCACAGCCATAGCTCGGTCAGCGTTTGTCTACTTAAAACATTTGGCGCGTCGTCGGGATGTCTCCCACTGGATAAGGGGTCCAGTTTACAATGCCGCTTTGCGGGCGATGTTGCTATATGGAAGAGAGTCGTGGCCAGTTCGCGTGAATGACATGCGCCGGCTCTCAGCCTTTGACGATGGGTGCTTGAGGGCGATTGCTGGTGTGCCGTGGTAACGACGTATTTGCAACAGTGAAGTCAGTCGTCGTGTCTTGGGGGATGCAAGTATTCCTTACAACAAACTGGCTTTGCTGCGCCAGTTAAGATAGATCGGTCACGTCCTGCGTATGTCAGCTGAGCGTTTGTCCCACTGCACATTTTTCGCTTGTACAGGACTTGCCTGGAACAGATCACATGGTGATCGGCCGTCCATCTGCGCCAGCATATGAAATCGTTGACTTCACTTTTTGCTGCTGTTGGATTCACATGTCTGCCTGGTTGGGGACCTAAGGGCGAAGTGTGCCGATTGCTGAAAACAATACAAGAAATGGCGCCCCATCGAAACCACTGGTGAGTCTCTGTACATACTTGTTTCGAATTAGATTCTTACTGCTTAACAAGTGAAAAATACAAAAAAAGAAAAAAATTTCAAAAAAGTGCTCTGCTTTTTTTGTTTTATTGCGGTACAATAGTTGAAGTGTGTTGCTCCCCTTCAGATATGTGCCATGGTGATGATGCTTGGAGTAAACCTGTCTTCTTCCGGTGATTTGCATGGTTTTGTTTGTCTCTATGTCTATTCAACAGACCGCTGCTTATACAACAACAACAACAACAACAACAACAACAACAACAACAACAACAACAACAACAACAACAACAACGACGACGACGACGACAAAAGCAAGAATTACTACTACTACTACTGCTATTACTACTACTGCTACTACTGCTGCTACTACTACTACTACTACTACTACTACTAGGTCGCGTATTCATTACGAGCATAAAGTACGAAGTATTAGCGGATTAAATGTCCCCGAACCACCCTGCTTGAGGTAACCGAGTCAGTAAAGAGGTTCTCGTAGATCCGTATATTACCACGAAAATGGCATTAGTAAGTTGGTGACAGCAAGGATTGCTATATTCAAGTCAAGCAAAGATATCGTGGTCAGACATGTTGCGCAATACAATGCCACCCAAAACCAGCTTTTCAAGGATTCGTTCCGCAAGAGGATCGATGATCCGAAAATGCATGACGTAAGCCAGTGATTAGGGGGTGTCCTAGATTAGGCAAACAACAAGCTGAATTGCACAAAAATTCTTTTAAACGCCATTAAAAATGAGAATGGTTCTTAGAATTGACTCATCTTGCGTTTGACAATTGTCAAACAGAACGACAGAGTAGGTACAAACAGATGCAGCCTTTGCCCTGAAGCAATTTCTGATGATCTCAGAGGCAGATGTCTTTCATCACAGCTGTGTCAAGTTGCGCTTTGTTAAAATCTCATATGGATTCAGGTGACCCAACTTACAAGATTGACGCATCCAAGCGGATCCTCCTTATGCTCGCTTGACTGTCAGTAGACCGATTTTCAATCTACTCAAACAGTTGTTCTACTCAAGAAACCCTCCCTGAGTTGGAATGAAACCAGTAGGTCTCTAACTGCACCGGCCTTCTTCATCATACGGGCAGTTAGCATACCTCGACACCGCCGACCAATTCAGAAATCCCATCGATTAGATGTTGCTTCAGTGTTTTGGTCACCTAAAAACCATCTTCTGTGACCAATTAAAGCCAAGTGAAACCACAGCGGGCGATGCATTTCTCAAACGCCCTAGGTAATTCAGACAAATGGCTTTGCAAGCCTTCTTCGTGAAGCATTTGAGGCCATTCCAACCGACGTACTAATCTCTCGTTCATTTACGACAACTGACGATTCAATTTAGAATATTGCTTCCTTCGCGCGGCTTACGAAGACTGTACTAAAAAGCACCCCCAGCATGTTTCCCATCGCTAAAATGCGAAGACTGAGCACTATCTGAGCTCAGGAGGTCATAGTCGGAATCGAGGTAAATAATCCAAATCGACCGATGTTCTCGCGCTGACATGTATCTTCTGAGTA